GATAAAATAAAAGTGAATGGTTGGTGGGTGCTCTGGATAGTGTGGTTTGCTCCCTCAGCCCAAACATCTACCGTCCTGTATAAATATGTAGGCTATCTCTCCCCTTCTTTTCTTCGTATACGTCATGTTATGTTCCTCGAGATCTCTGCACCTCTATGGCCCATTTGTTTTGCAAGTGCCGTAAAACTCTTACAAAAAGTAGACCTAAATAAGCTGAAAAGCCTAGGTACTTCGAGTTCAAGTCAAAATTGCTTTCACTTTCACATTCACTCTTTTTCCGATTCGCTACAATGTATGATGATATTCCAAGATCCCTCATACTCATTGCTCATGCCCATGTCCTATTTTAGTTTTAGAAACATTATTGTTGTAGAGGATGACTGTGACATTGAACTTAGAAGGGCGCTCTAAATATAAATACTATATTTTTTTTTATGTGTGGCCAAACTCGAAAGCATAAATTCTTCCTGGACCGACCAAAAGGCATTATCCCCGACGACAAAATAATATCTTATGTTGAGAATTTTTTTTTTTACTTTTAACTTTGTGCCGTGATCACAGCTAGGCTATTGAAAAAGTTTTAATCCTAATTTTGGAACCATGCCAAGGGGCGCTACTCTAATTACGTGGTTATTTTTGTTTAGGCTAGCCTAACTGAGACACTGCATCTTCCGCGATTCTTTTCACAGGCTAGAAAATCTAAGCGGGGGTGAAAAAAGGCAGTCTCTGTTGTCGCCTTTCAGAAGGTGTCCCTTCATGACTCAAAAGATATCATAGATTTGGCAGTTTTTTTGATGTTGCCAGTACTTCCCAGAGCAAGAATATGGGGAACGCACTGAGCGAAAGCGACGAAGAAGGCAGGATGGAAGCTCCGAATGATGTAAGTTTGGCTAGTCAGCGGGGTCTAGATATTAGATTAAAACATTGTTATGCTACATTGACTGGTTGATATCATATGACATGGACAAACTTAGAGGCTTTGTTATGGAGACTTCGAAATGGGCATGGGTGTGTAGATTTCTCAGGCGTCATTCTAATTCAGCGCTTTAAAGTTAAAGTATAGAAGTGCCTATTCTCACCCGGGGTGAGAATAGAAATACGATCGACCTCTCACCCCGGGTGAGACTTGCCTCCGTAGGCTATTCTCACCCGGTGTGAAACAAGACCTGTTTTTCCTAATTTCGGAATACTTTCTATCGATGTGGATGATCAAATGGATAAAGGCAAAGAAAAGATTACGTTATAGCACAAAAGTAAGCTAATTTTATCGACTACAAAGATGCTATGGCTATTTCGCTTTTCAAATCGAGCGGAACTACGGGGGTCGCCATTTTGTTTTGCTCGGAAGTTCTCGCAAGATCTACTCCTCCCCTCTTCTCTCTCTGTCTCTTTCTGAATACTGTCTATCGGTGTGGACGATCAAATTGACCAAAACAAAGTTAAAAAATGATGTTGAAACACAAAAGTAAATTAATTTGGTCGTCTACAAAGATGCTACGGCTATTTAACTTTTCGAATCGAGCCGAACTACGCGGGTCGCCATTTTGTTTTGCCCGGAAGTTCTCGCGCTACTCCTCTCTCTCTCTCTTTCTCTCTCTCTCTCTCTCTCTTTCTCTCTCTCTCTCTCTCTCTCTCTCTCTCTCTCTCTCTCTCTCTCTCTCTCCACTGCCCACAGACAAAATTGTACGCTTTTAGTAGACTAACAGTAGTAATGGAACGTTTGTTCACGGCACAGAATTCTACAATTTTTCTGTTATCACAGTGTAGAATTCTGTGGTTTAGGGTGAACGCAAAATATGGTTGGCCTAGATCTAGGCTATAACGGTGAATGCCCACGGGGTGAGAATAGCCAAAAGACTCGCCTGCGCTATTCTCACCCGGGGTGAGGCCTTAAAGTATTGGGTAGCTTACTTAATTTTAAGTGAGAAGCCAACTGATTTTTTCCCCAGTACAGTCGGTAATAGGCCTAGACTAAAAGTAAAGAGACCACCACTTATCATTTAGGCTATTCATTTATATGCCTTATTTTAAATTTGTTGTAAATGGGCTTGTGTGCAGAGAGCTTCAGTAATTGTTTACTTTCTCGCGTTTAATTCCCGGGGAGGACTTCCGTAATGAGGGACCGCTCTGAACTCTATGAATATCAATGGCCATCAAAATAAGTTCGGAAGGTCTAAACTTTAGACTAAAGCCAATGCGTTACAAGACTTAGATTTAGATCTAAAATCTACCAACAAATGATGAAATTGCTGTGACGTGTTCCTAATCCCAACGCAAAGTTTTGAATATCCAGTCAGGGAAGCATGGATCTAGATCTAGATCAGCTAGAACTAGGCGCGGCTGTAATTAAACGCGAGAAAGTAAACAACTCTGCCTTTTATACTTCCTGCATGCTGCTTCATTATTTGCAGGTGAATTGATGCAAATGTCTTTGGTATGCTTTGCTTTTCAAATAATATGACGTGTCATTAAATATCTACTCTTCTCCACTTTTTTTTATTGATGCTTTTGTTATTTTATGTTTTTGTTTACTCCCCTAGTCTTAGCCCTAGACCTAGTGCAAATATCTACTGTCTGATTTTGAGGTACGGTAAGTTTGTAAATGCATGCACACACACACACAGATTCATTTTCATTCAAGAGCAAGTTAAGACAAATTGAGAATCCAGTTTTGTTCCTCCTCTTGTTCTGCAGTATGAGTATGACTCTTTAACATCATCACCAAGCAGACAGGTATTGATAGAAACTTATATACATGATTACTCAGTTTCATGTTTTCTTTTATTAAAATTGTGGGATTTTTTTCACATGTTTTTTGAGTTCCCGCCTCTGTGCTTCAAATTAACAGGCCCTACTCTTTTACATTTCTGATGCTTTTTGACTTTCAAGATTCACAGGGGTTACCGTTAATAAACATGGTAATCTATATAATTAGAATTGTCTAAAGTAGCCTAATTGAGCTGAGATCTTTGTTTTAAAAAGATTTAATTTACAAGCCGACACTGTCATAAAAATTTTCACTGCCCAATTTCACATTACATGTACATGTCAAAGGAAGTACAGCAAACTCAGTAACACTTTGCATACTCTTAGTTTGTCACTGCCACACAGAACCATGTTTTAGTAAGTGGTTTAATGGTTTTATTTCTTTAAATGTCTTGCTCAAAGGATCTAACTGGTTATCAGTTTCGAAGCTATTGAAATTCAATGTTATTCATGTAACCCGTTACCACCCCCTGGACAAATATATATGGGCCACAGTAACTGGTGTGAATGGACTGGTTGCCAGTTGGCTATTGTTTATTTTTTCGTTTGATATTAATCTTTGTTTTGACTTCCCATTAAGAGTTTACTAAACTAGAACTAAATTGTGGAAATTTGAGTTTTAAATGTGTGCACATTTATACGTTCTTGATTTGACATAGTCAATGTAAATCCACGCTGGGTCATCATCAAGTTTACAACTTTTAACGTACTGTGTATAACTGACAACAACTTTGATGAAAATGGATTAATTAGGGGTAATTCCAGTGCTGCAACATACATCATGCTTTACCCACTCCACGCCGCAGAGATAGAGATAGCAGTAAATTACATTGTTTTTTAAATGTGAGCTGGAAATATTGATGTTTTATGATTTAAGTAAGACCCACGATAGAAATTGTGAGGAAAGGATTATAAAGTTAAGATAATATGACAGGGCTTTTGCTTTTGAATTTAGTAACCTCTCTAAAACTTTCGTTCACCATTACTCTTTTTTCCCATGTGATCACAGTTTCTTTATTATACTGAATGCATTGTTATAATGTGTCATATTTTTTTTGTACAGCCTGAGGATGACACATCAGATGGGGAGGACAACAGTGGTGAGTCTTGTTTGAGAAACTGATGTTCTCATTTGTAACTTCTTCTTGAGTATTATTGTGTTTGGTATCTCATTCTCTCCCTCATGTCTTCCGCTTTCCTCTTCCCCATTTCTTTCCCCTTTCTTTCCTTCAGTTCCTCTTTCTTTGTCTCCCCTCATTGCTTCTCCCATTTTCTCCCTCTCCTCCTCCATTCTCTCCTTCATCACCCCTCCCCATCCTTTCTCTCATTCCCTCTTTCCCTGTCTTCCCTCATCTCTTTCCTCATTTTCTCCTTCATTTCCTTGCCCATTCTCTCCCTCATCTCCTCCCCCATTCTCTCACTCATTCTCTCCTTCATTCCCTCTCTGCCTCCCTTGTTTCATCTCTCTTTCTCTCCGTCTTTCCCTCTCTCAACTGTCACCCCTATTCTCTCCCTCATTTCTCCACTGTTTTATTTTCTCTTTTCCTCCCTCAGATGGTGACAGTAAACCTGCAACAGACCTTTGCTACCTGTTCACAGACCAGTCATCACTGCGTGTCGCTGCCACCAAAGTCAAGTGAGTCTCTGTGTGTGTGTGTATGTGTGCGTGCGTGCATGCATGCTTGCATTGTGTGTGTGTAATTGTGTTTGTAAGAAAGTCCTCTCTCTGTGGGATTTTTTTTTGCTTTGACTGCAGTGGTCAGTGAGTTTGAATTTTATGTTCCTCCACAGAGAGGGACAAAGTATACTTTTCTTTTAAATGATTTTCTCATTGTTTCTGTAAATGTATACATATTTACAGGATGCTTGTTCTGACTAAGATACTATTAAATGGTCTTTACATCATTTACTTAAACATATGGATGAGCGATGTTTCAGTGAGCATGTACACTAGATGAGCATTGGTGTCATGGTCTTATTGGGTTCTGTCAGAAGCATTCGACAGTCCCTCTGTGCCTTGTGTACAAACATGTCACTTCATGCTGTGTTTTTTATATCAACCAGTTTGATTAGTTTAATCACCATTCATTATGGTCAGTGTACACTACTGCAACTTTGACCGAATTCTGCAGAATTAGCTGAATGTCAGTGAGAAAACTGGTCATGTCTCCATGAGTTATTGCTGCAAATCTAGTGAAAGATGACTTGATCAGTCCAAAGGAGATGGATTTTACTTTCTGGGCCTGATCAAATTAATGATGATAATAACAATAATAGTAATAATATCTTTGAGTCACCTCTCACAGTTGACTCGATATTCGTTTTATCCAGAGGGGTTTTAGACAGGCTTGAGTTTGTGCATATTACTAATCTGCTGCTGGGAGACAATATTTTGTAGTCTGTGTTAGCCATTTCCATGTAATGAGTGTACACTGGTCAGCTTAGATTCCAGACTTGACCTTCCACAATCCTACCTACCCACCTGGTTGAAAAAGTGTGACTTTCATTGTGCGCCATTTCAGAGAGAAGTTTCCGGAAGTGGCGCTTCTGCTCTACAATTCTCAGATCATCCAGTGGCTGGAGAGTAGAGCTGATATCTACGAGGTAGGTGTCTCTCCACGTCACTGTTGTGGAGACATTCAGATCTACAACACAACTTGATGGGATTTCAGACATAATTTATTTAGTCACACTGTCTTTAAAACAACTTCAAAAGATTTATTTTATCATGATTTCCTTGGGGGGGGGGGTGTTCTGTTAATTGCACATATTGTACTTTAGTGAAGTGCCTAACTAGTCATCATAAATACTGTTTGTGTGATAGTGCACTATTTTTGCTGAAGGGTATGGGTGGAGAGAAGGAAGAAAATGTTATTTGTATGGCTAAGAAACTTGTTTTGAAGGAAGAATAAAAAAGTGGAAAATGAGGGAGAGATGGTGGAGGAGAAGAGAAGGAAGGATTTTCTTATCTTTACTGGTTTCATCCACTGTGTCATTTGTCAAGGCAGTCCTGATAACCCAGTATGTCTGTGGGAGTAGGTGGATTGCAGTCAGTTTTTAAGGGTGGAAAGTTTTACTTTTCTTCATGACTAAGTGTTGGACTTGTCCTTTCTTTTCGTTAGTATCGGGTAATTCTTTTACATACTTATCTATTGTGACTTGTGTATGACACATTTGCAATGCAAGTGCTGTAAAATCTAAATTTGAAAAAAAAAGAAAGAAAGGAACTATCTCTTTTCTTGTCTTTTTTTTATATGTATGACAATAGTAAATATGTTTGCAGCAAACTTGTGGTTTATGTAAGGCTTTTGCCCCTTTTTGCACTCAGGACAGCATCACCCAGGCCCAATTCTGTGACATGCTGATTGGACTTGGGGTGGAGAGGGCAGAGGCTATTAAGGTTAGTCAGTGGAAATGTGTGCAGACTTGGGTATGTTGTTTGTTCATTTGTGTTTGTGTGTGTGAATGCGCTTCCTACTCATTGGGGCTGGGGTTGATAGGGTGAAAGCCACTAAGGTTTGGGTGTTATGTGCATTTGTGCATGTCTTTCTTAGTGTGTTTGTGCTCTCATATGTTTAAATGCGATATGCTCATGAAGCTTAGGGGGTTCAAAGTACAGAAGCTGTATATATTTGTTAGTTTGTATGTTCGGTTTTTTTTGTGTATGTTTGCCCTGAAGTGCGACTAGTTCATTGGTTTCTAGATCAAGAGTGAGTTTAATGTGTCTTTTTATGGATTGTGTATTTTTCTCTGTGTGTGCATTTGTGTGTGTGTGTGTGTGTGCGTGTGGGGGTGGGGGGGGGGGGGTTATTAGTGTGTGTGAATATGCACATGCTAATGTGTGTTTGTGAAGATATACACCTATGTGTTTGCTCGTACATGTTTTCTCTCCAATTGGGTCTAACTGCCTGTCCGTTGTTTTTTTTCCTGGTCTAAAATGCCCCTTGTATAACTGGTTCTATGTGGCCATATATTTCAGGCCTTCCACCAGTTTGACTCAGATGGCAGTGGCGTGGCGGAAGTGGCTGCCATGATTGAGGCGGTGGCGGAGTACTCAAACCGCTCAGCTCTCGGGGAGCTGGGCAAGTCTATCCGCACACTGCAGTCGTGTGCCCTCACGCCAGGTTTTGTAGATGTATATGCTGGCTCCTCACATCCTGTAAACAAACACGGCAGCTGTATTCTCAAGGTACTAAAAATGCTCAGTGTTACACACCTTGGTACAACCTCAATTTTAAGACAAATCAATTTGTCCATACACCCACTTTTGATGCTGAATGGGCAGATGGTTGAGGGCACCTCCTGTGAGTCCCAATTCTTTTGCTCTTTTGTTTCTATCAGTCTATCTTATTATTTACCTGCCCTGAATAACCATCATTTTGATGATGTGCTTTTCTTTACTCGAACAAGCAAACATGGCACTGAATTTTTTGGTGACATGTCATTATGAATAAATGCAGGTGAAGATTGTTCACCTTAAAGCTGGTTTTAGCCATTAAAAAAATTTATGTTTGTCTTGTCAGGGTTGAAGCAGCCAGCCTCCTTCATTATCTAAATTGCGTCGATAAGGGCATTCAACTGTTACAATCCATGAATGGGCCATTGCCTCTACAAACATGTTAACAAATACCAATGGTAGCTATGCGTAGAGTTGAAATGAGTTTTGGCAAAATTAACACAAATTAAGGTCTCCCAGCTGTGTGGAAGGACAAGTTCCCTGGGCTGTCCTCACCCTCATTGTGAGTAGAAAAACTTGTAGCTGAGAAAGACTTAAGTTTTTCTTAAAATTTGTTCCAAAAGCACTCTTTATTGAGCGAGACAGACTTACGGTTAACAAAGGACTGGTTTAAAACAGAGACTTGAAACTTCCTTTCTCAATGTCAGCTACTTGTGTTTGTCTTGTCTCTGCAGTATTTGCTGCGCAATAGAGCGGAAAGTGCTTCACTGCCATTCCCGTTCCTCAACACCTTCAACAACACATTCATCATGCGCTCAGTGGTGCTCAAGAACTTGCTCAATGCGGCCAAGGACGACTGTAAGTTCTCATCATGTCTGGTTTGAGTGGGAAACTTTTTGAATTTACGACTGCAGGGGAGAGGATGAGGGGTCAGCGTGATTTTTAAAAAAAAATCAGCACTTAAGAAAGTCCCTTTGACAGGGCTGCCTAAATCTACCGATTTTTCCGGTAGATACCGATTTTGGGCCTGTTCTACCGCCATACTGATAAGGTGTCAAAAGTACCGAATTTTCAATGGGTGCTGAGAGAATAAAAAGAAAAAACATTCTGCAGTGCTTCCATTCTTCTTTGTTTTTACGGAAATCCGTACATTCCGAAAGTTCCGTACTTGCCGCATCATCATATCAACTCCATGCGAGAGAGAGGGGGAGAGAGAGAGATCAGCACTTGCCTCCGTAACTTGTCAGATATTTACGGCAACTCTCGGCAATAAGTTGTATTAGAAACTGCCAGATTGCGCATTTCGTACACTCGACCATTGTCTATCTGTGCCGTTCGGTCGGCAATAGTTTTTCACCTGCATATCGGCTGAAATCTGTCTACTCACGATAATAATCTTCCTCCTTCTTTTCATTCATTCTTTCTTTCTGTCTATCTTCAGTTTTTTGCAGCAGCTGGAAAATCTGTGCATTTAATTCATTTATCTAGAAAACAGAATTGTGAATATAGAAGGAAAATCGGTATCGAAGCAAAACATTCTAAAATCTGTCTTGGTCTAGAGAATTGGTCAGTACCTAGAACTGAGAAAGCCTAGGTCAGTACCAAATAAGGATTTTACGCAGGGGGACTGCGGGAATTTATTACCCGGGAATCTAAAGAAAAAAAATCGCTTATACGGGGTGCCCACTACGGCTGTGATGGGCCGATCGCTTGACTCGGTCGCCTAAAAAACAAAAGTTTGTTTTCAGTTTCAGGCGATCGAGTTGGGCGATTGGCCCGATCCAGCCGTAGTGGGCACCCCGTATTAGACCCGAGAAAATGCACAAAGTCCTCGAAACCAAATCTGAAAAGCCTTCTGAGTTCATATTTTACTAGTCACGTTTGTGATATTACGTTCGGCTTTCCCCAGTCCAAGAGTACGTTTTGCACGAATGAGCGGCTATGGCGGCAGGCGGAAGACGTGTAGTACTGAGACTCCTTTGGGAAAATCAAAATCTGCTTTCGTTACCGCTCAGAATTGTCCGATGATAGTTCGTTGACGTTAGATTTACAGTTAATAAAATTTGTAACCTGCAGTTTGTGCGTAAAAAACACAGTGTAGCCTTAAACATTAAATCGATATTCTCCCTGATGTCGGTATAATGACAAAAAAAGGGAGAAAAAGAAAACACGCGTCCTCCAATTTCTAGATTGTCGGGCCCGTCATCGTGACCGGTCAATGAACCTGTGAGAGTTCGTGAGTACGGCATAAGCAAGGGACCAGCCTGTGGTTGTTAGGGAAAGCCTAATCAAAGTTCATTCGAAGTAGGAGTGTTGCAGGGCGTCGGAATTGAGGGGAGGTGTTTGATACAATAAAGTTTACGGCAGCAGGAAAAGGCAGCGGTGCAAGAAACTGATGCTAAAATAAAAACGATAAGTGGAAGTGGTTTTCGCATTCGACAATCGAGTGCGTAAATGAGGGAACAGTAGAGCACAGGCTTGATGATTGTATCTTCAAGGTTGGTGGTCCCGGGTTTGTCGGATTTGTCAGTGATAACAAATTGAATAGTGGCAATGAGGAAATGCCATTTTTAACCCTCGGAAAGCTCTATGTTGGATGCCTATGCATCATGATGGCTTGTTGCTGATTAAATACTGGTACTGTGATTTAGCATTTTGAAAAAAAATCAGTACTTAGTCCATGATGCAGTGATTCACTGATTGTCAGTTTTTCAGCATCAATACATCCCACACTCTCACAGTACTTCCAGCTCCGGCTCTATCGGTACACGCTCTCTTTTATTTTCACTTTTTGCTCTGCCGTGAGCCTAACTTACTATAAAGGTTTTATAAATAAGTTTTGTCTTGCATGCTTTTTAAAATCCGTGATTGCTGAAACCAAACATGGTTTTTGCAGTTGATGTTCTTCTTGCCTCTCCTCAGGCCCAGATCAGGATTCATGTTGTATTTTCAGGGTAAAACTAGTTAAAATTAATTGTCTGTCATACCTAAGTCACGAAGAACTTATCAGTGTCCTATGCTAGTGTCGGGAAAATTATGTTTTAATTTAGTTTCTATTGGTATGGGCTAGGGGTTTTGAAGTCAGTTTGGCAATCACCCTGCACTCAGTTCCAGATTCAATACTGAATGATAGGTGCCTTGAACGATAGTCCATTAAATGATTTAAAAAAAACAAAAAAACCTCGCCTCATTTCATATACACTGTTCATCGTAACTTGTGCACACCCATACACCCCCTTCCTTTCCCACGCACATTATATATAGGCACATGCGAGAGCGTGGCAACATGCACACACAGACACACTCACATACACACACACACGCACACACACACACATGTGCATGCACAAACAAGTTTTCAAAATATAATTACCCAATATCACGGAAAGCAAGCGCGTTCGATGGGGCAACGATCATCTTTTTTTTTTCTTCTTTGTCTTTGTTCTACCTGATTTTGGGCCAATCTACCTGAAAATGACCCTGAATCTACCTGAAATGGGAACTTTGAGGTAGGCAGCCCTGCTTTTAGAAAGGCAACTTGTCTTATTTTGATAAGCCATAAGAGTGAATAAAGAATGTTTCTCCTTTATTCTAATAAGAGATGATATTCCTGGGAGGAAATTATTTTAAGGCCTTGGAAGATGTTCACCAGTCAGAGAAAGATCACGTGCTATGGGAGGTTGTTCAGCTGAGAAAAAATTGCAAGTGGATGGAGCTATGTTTATGACCTATCCCTTGTTTTATTACAATACTATGAGTGTCAGTAATGTCCCTTAACTGTGTTGTCTGTGTCGCTGGTGTGTACATGTTTATGCATGTGTGTTTGTATGTGTGTGTGTGCTTGTATGTGTACATGAGTGTGTGTGCTTGAATGTTAGTGTGTGTGTATTTATGTTTGTGTGTGTGAGAGAGTGTGTTAATTGTGTGAGTGTGTGTGTGTCTGTTTGTTTGTTTAGTATAGGGTTTTACGGCGCTCCAACTGCATAAGGTCATATGAGCGCGCGGGACACACCTAATACTTTTTCGTTGGTAGGAAATTTTGAATTTTGCCCGGATGGTGGTGTGTGTGTGTCTGTGCCCTATGTTTGTCTCATGTGTGAATTTGTGTGCTCTGTGGCTTTATGATGTGTATGTATGTATAGTTCCTTTATCTATCTTTCATGTATGTGTTTTTCAGTGAAGGAGAACGAGCTGGAGGGGGACATCAATGACTTTGAGAAGAAGACCATCCACAACTGCTACCAGAGCCTAGAGGTCTCCTCCAATGCCTCTGAGTCAAACCTGTGAGTGACTGTCTTGTGTGTGGGGGTGTGCATGCTTGAGTGTGTGTGTGTGCATGTGTTTGTGCGTGCTTGCGTGCGTGTATATAAATCTATCTTTTACATCACTCAAACATCTTTAGTACACAGCTGTGATTGATGGTCAGAAATCATGGCCATAAACAAAAGTCTGATGATCCAGATTTGACCTATTACACTCTTTGGTCCTGAATGAAACAGAAATTCAGTTTGAGTAATTTATGCTTTAGATTTGTGAGGGGTTGTATTGGGATTCCTAAAAATTCAAAAGTAACATTTTTATTACTTTAGTTTAGAGTTAAGAATGGATACATTCTATTTTCACTTGTGCTTACATTTAAAAGCTGCCACAGTGAAATATAAACTATTAAGTTTTCATTGCATGAGAGAACAATCTTTGTAAATAATCATGGATTGAATGACCTGATTGTTAAGGTACGGGAGACTGCTCTGTGTCAGTTCAACTGACAACATCATTTTGATTTGCTCTCCCTTCTTGTGTCCTTCTCCACCCCCCCTCCCCCCATAGTTCACGGCATGGACGACAGGGTACCATGTTTTGGCAATCAGATGGTGCTGCTAGATCCCATTTTATACGGTAAGTATTGCTCACTACTGGCATGTGTGTATGTATTTGTGACAGAGAGATAGAGGGAGGGAAAGAAGGAAGGAAAATGTTTCAGGGATGCCGTTTTTCTGTTATTTCTGGGGGTTTCCGTTATTTTGGGCATCGTCCGTTAGGAACTTTGTTTTATTGTTGAACCGATATGATGTTGTTTTGTCGCATTTATTGCTTCGTCGCATGCTAGATGTAGTCTCGAAAATATTTTCAGTTATTTTTACAAAAGTTCAGTGGCATCCCTGATGTTTGCAATCAATAATGTACCTTTAAGATCGAGTCTGTGACCAGAATGTTCTACTGAAGAACCCATTACTCTGACATTATGTCTCACAAGTATACAGGAAAATTTATTTTTTCTTGTGTAGGTCATGATGGTTTGTTGTTTCATTGTTTATAAATGTTTTACGTTTGTAGTGCTGTAAGTCAGATGTTTTTGGAAACGCGCTACTTACATCTTGCCTGTCAGGCGAAATCAGCACTGTATGAGATACATCCCATCTGAAATTTAAAGAAACTCATTCAATAAATGTCTTCCTTGCAAGACAATCAAACTAACATCTCATTTTTACCAGAAATCTTTCCAGTCACACTAAGACTCTCTTCAGAGTTAATTCTTTCGACTGTCTCGATCATTCTCATGCAACTGTGTTTGTGCCTCATTATTGTGTGTTAAATGCATGTTTATTTGTCTGTGTCTCTCCAAGTTTGCGCATCAAGCCCAATGTGGTGTTGAAGACATTGTCCATCGGTGTTATGGCCACTGACCAGAGCTACATGCCCGAGCTAGTCACAGTGTCTGTGGGTCAGTCAGTGGGAAACCTTCGAGAGATCAATGAGGTCAAGGTTGACAGGTGAGCTCGTGCACAATGATTACAGTCATTGACATTTTCTCACTCACACTTTCATGAACACTTGCTGCACATATCCTCACTCTCTTTCTCGCACATGCACACAGACACAAACACAAAAACACGAATATTTACACACACTCACATACAAAGACAAAAAGACATACACGTACACATGCACTGTCTGTGCAGTCATCTATGTAATTCACAAAGAACCTTATACGCTATATGATTCAATTTAAAAGTTGTGATGTCTGCTTGGCTGCAGTTATAAAACAAATCATATTGCTCACATAATCTTTTTTCCCAAGAACTAGTATTTCTCTTATTTCAAGAATGAAAGGAGAAAAAATGTTACTAAGAAATTTGAATGTACTTTTGTGTATATGTCTCTCTCTCTCTCTCTCTCTCTCTTCAGCCATGCAACTGGACAAGTCGTCGTGCTCAGAAACATGAAGACGTACTATCCATGTAAGCATGTACAGTTTGTGATCCTGTTTGTGGAAGTGTTCGTTGCTTGTATCAACTTAAGGCATGCTGAATATGACCATTTTACTCTCATTTATTATTCTAGATGATAATGTTTCCTTATTTTTTTTGTCAGAGAAAACTCGTTGCAGATCCTACTTCTGTCCTGTCTCTTTACAGTGTTTGTGTGATGTCTTTCTCGCTTCCTGTTGGTGGTTGAAAGATGCCATTGGTAGTTCCTACTCCTGTAGCTTCCTTCTTTTGTTTCTGTCTTTCTGACTTTGCTTTTGACCCATACTCTATGACCGTTATTGTGTTGATGTGCTTCTCTTTACTCACACTCAAACTTCCCTGGTGGCTGTGACATCTGACCTGTCCTTCTGGTATTTTTGTTTTTTGCCAGTATGTGAGAGGACTCTCTCTATCACTAGTTCTTTTCTTCCCTCTGTTGTTTCTGTCAGTCTTCCTTTCTCTTTCCTTGTACTTAATAACCATTATTGTGTCAATGTGCTTCTTTTCACCCAACCTCAAACTCAAACTCTCGCTCTTACAAGTATCCTGTTGCTACTATGGAGATGGAAGTTTCTTCTTCTTTGTGTTTGGAAGTTGAGTTAGTCAAACTAATAGAGAGATTGACAGTGAGATAAACATTTAATCATACGGAAAGGTTTTGTGTGTGTGTGTATGTGTGTTTGCCATCATCCTTAGTTTTCAACTGTGTCATGTTCTCATCTCTGCAGATGTGCAAATCAACATCAAACGTTGCCATGGTGAGGGATGTGACACCAGGATACATGGGGTCAAGGCTGTTGGGTTCAAGTGAGTTCCTTGTCCACCTGAGAGTTTTCAATTTGTCAAAGATTTATTTTTCTTTGATTATTTTTTGCCTTTTGAAATTTTTTCTCTCAAAATACTTGGATTAAGATGGTATGGATTTCTGTTCATATATGTTTAGTATCCTTATCATCAATAAGAATATTGTTTTGTCATGCAATTATATTTTGTCTATATCTCTCTGCCCCGGTCATAATCAATCGTAAGACGCAATGTGCTTTTTAGCGCTAAGAGGCTCGAAAGGCTAATCTGCTTCATTTGAGATAAAAATGAACAACTTTAATCGACTATAAATATTTTATTCTGATTTATTTTGGAGGTGTGTTTGTGGTTTGTTGTGGGCTTGGATGAAAAGATAGAGGAAGTTGGAACTCAAATCCTTTCGAAATTTGACCTGCTGGTGGGTAACTGTGAGATTATTTATAGAACCATTACCTCATGCCCACATTGCTTCAATGTCCTTCATTCGCCCCTATTTTTAGATTTAGACCAAGGAGATTAAAAGTAATGGAGGATGCTCTGTGGGCGGCAAGCACGCCTGATAGGAGTCCTCTCTCGCGGCGGAACTGTGGGCTGCCTAGAAAGAAGGTTTTATTCCGAGGTCCTTGAGATTAGACAAGTCAATTAGTAAAAATGCCTTGCACCTGTGTTGTATTTAAGTGTAAGAACCGATATGCTGCAGTGGACCGAAGTTTTCACAGTTAAGTTGTTTTCCTTTAAAAAATTTGAATGAAAGTGTTTTTATGCCCCCCAGCAACACAATTTAGATCATTAATATTCATAGAGGCTGGCTCCGGCGCTACCTGCCAAGGCCAACCCCGGCTGACAGGGATACAACACCCCAGCAGAAAGACCGAGATACTCAATTTTTTAATAGTATTCTTATTCATAAATATAATTATTATGTGTATATATATAATTATTATGTGTGTGTATGTATATACATATTATACATTTTAATTAAAGATATTGCTTTCCATTGTGTGTGCAAATTAGATGCTACTGTTGTCTTAATGCAGATATCTAGAGGCTCCATTAGAATATGAAATCAATACTCAGCTACAATAATGATGAATATTTTCTATGTTAAAGAAATACCAAACCATATCAGATGAGGGGGGGGGGATAAGGTGGGGTGGATAAGAGTTTCAGTCTTGTTAGATAGAACTATACTCGGTTTAATTCTATTGTTGTAGTCTTCACTTAAGATCCCACAATCAATAATTCCGGTTCACTTAAGATTCTGCTGTTAAAAAATAAACCAAACAAAGCAACAACAAATTTTACTACACAAGAGTCATCACTAAGATAAATATTATCCCCCTCTGGAGTGTAATAAGGGACTAAAAACGCTACTCTCCATATCATACTTTACTGAACAAAAAACAACTCTTCAAAGGTCATCCACGCTCATGCACGCGATCACACCTCCAAAGGTGCTGTTATCTCTTTTCTTTAAATATTTGAAATCATTGTGCGCTCCACTTTGTGGAAACCAGGAAACAAAATTATTGTAATCAATAATAATATTATTATTTATAGACCAAGACATACTGTTAGCAATCAGATAAAGCTGGCATTGACCCTCTTTAGTGTTCGCTATTCCTTACACATAAAGTTAGTTATGGCACATGCCTAGAATCATGCAATCATTTCTTAAATTCAGTTTAAATGTATATTTTTATCCATTTCTTATAATTAAATATTTTAGCATCTTGAAAGATTATCTTTATAATTTGGTATGTTTGATAATTGTATGTTACTCGTACAGGTTTTTTTCTTATTTTACACATCTTTTTTATTTTAAAACTAGATTATAACAAAAAACTCTTAAAGAATTGAACAGTCCGTATCACACACAGAATTTATTGGTTTTTTTCTCCCTGTCATTATCTGTCAGCCCGTCAGTTGATCACAATCTCTCTCTCTCTCTCTCTCTCTCTCTCTCTCTCCCTCTCTCCCTCTCTCCCTCTCTCCCTCTCTCCCTCTCTCACTCTCTCTCTCTCTCTCTCTCTCTCTCTCTCTCTCTCTCTCTCTCTCTCTCTCTCCCTCTCTCTCTTTTATTTAAGTTTTCCCATTCTCCTTCGTCCCTTCCCAAGGCCCGCCCCTCCTCTTTCATCCCAGCCCCATCCCCTCTTCTTTGCGTGCATTCCCCCACCCCGCCCACCCCCACAACGTGGCCCAGCCCGGTAAGATTCTATAAAAAGGAACGCCACAGTTTGTGATTTAGCTCACAGTCGGCCGCCATATTTGATCCCCACCGTGGCGTACTGCTCGTGGCGCCGCGAAGAGAGAGAGGAGGCTCCATTAGTTCTAAACTCCTTGATTTAGACACCTTTTCGAACATGAATGGTCTGAAATATAAACGACTTAAGGGCATAATGAATGGCTGAGGGCTCTAATTTGTTAAACGGGGTAAAAACGGTAACTCCTGCCCCATTTTAAGTTTGTTTACGTAAACAGCTGACTGTAGTGTAAGTGTGCCCTGCTAACTCAGTTATAGCCTATTGATCTTTCAGTTTTACAATTTGATTGACTTTAAAAATTCGTTTTTATTGTGTTTTAGTGGGTTTTTTAAAAGATTGATTTTCTTCTGCATCTCCCAAGGTGGACTCCTTACCATGAGGCCACTGAGGCGGTCTCTGTGCATGTGTGTGTGTATTTGTGTGTGCATGTGTGTGTGTGTATATGTGTGTGTGCGCTCATGTTTTTATAATGCTTTTGCAAAAGTTTAATTAGGAAGCGTAAGCCGACTCGCGAACTTCTGAGTGCGTGGTTTCGGTGAAATCGAGGTAATTGAGATCGCTTTTTCTTTGCTTTTTCGCTATAACACACCAAATGCTGTACACCTTGAAAAAGTTAAGCTTTTTTTTTGTTACTATATCGTAATTTGTTTTTCGCGAGTATTTGGAGCTGGAGAATTGCCATGGAAAGCGAAGCCCCTCGTGACTGGAATGCAAGGCCTGCCAGTTTGAAAAATAAACACCCATGCATAGAACCAACTCACTCGCCGCGAGGACAAGTGCGGTGCAGGCTAGGACAACACTCTGTGTTTTTAAAAAAATCGAAATAACGACAGATCACGTGTTTGAGGCAATAAAATACTGATTTGTAATGATCTCACGATTATAAAAAAATTAGGCTCCATTTATATGTTATAGTGATTGTACTCTGTTAATGTGGAGCTGTTTGGTGCACTTGGTACTCTTTTATTATCTGTCAAACATGGGGTTGCAACCAGTTAGCGAATTTAGCAATATTCAATTATATATTAAATTAAAACAGCTGCTATTTTCTTAAAAGTTGACTGAGAGGTAAAAGTATGGTACCAAAATTCACAGGAGACACAGGCCTTTCATGTGAAACAGATATATTTGACATACAGCTACTTTGAACATTTAGTTACTGGTACCTATGTTTAGTAGGGCTTACAATGCTACTCCGTTGTTGCATTCGACGTGAAAACCATTCTTGTTAAAATTTTGTTTTGTCCGTAAGCTTTTTTTCTGTAAATGAATAGTTTTCTACTTCTGTGTGTTACCTAGTAGTGGCACAGCCAAGATAACTTCCAAATTTTAAGTCTCTCAATTCTAAGACCTCGTTGCGATGGAAAAATGTTGCTCAACTTCAGAGCCCGTTTTCTCCTTTTCGTGTTTTCGCTCCTTGCATACTTAAAAGTTCCATATTTTTGTCAAATATTGTCTTATTTACTTCAATTTTTTTTCCAAATTGTCGTGAAATGGTGATAGTTTTTGGAAATTATGTTAACTAAATTTTGAAATTTCCTTCATACGACTGATTTTGACAGGGAGGGTCACAAACGTGGTTTCTCTATGGCAGTGTTAAAATCTAAATAGCACTTTCACTTAAATATTTCTGTTTGATCTCAATTTGCTTCTCTTCCCTCACCCCCTCTATCACGCGCACACACACACACACACACACAGACACACACACACACAAACATTCACACTCACACACACAGACATACTCAAGTCCTCTCTTCCTCATCTGTTTCTGGTGCATGTGTCCTCAGACTTGTGAAGGAGGCTGGCATCTCTGTACTGGACGCCTCAGCACTGTGGTACCTTCAGATGCTCACTACCACAGTCTCCGTGAACTTGGTACAGTCTCCAGCACTACGAACTATGCTACTGGAGCACACCAAGTGAGTGATATGTTGCTGGAACACCTTGAAATTGTGATGTGTTTCTGGAACACATCAAGATAATGCTGGTACACACTGAGATAATGATGTGTTGCTCAAACACAATGAGATAGAAATGTGTTAGTAGAACACAGTGACATATTAATTTGTTGCAGGTTTGAAGTAGTTCACCCCTTAAATGATTCAAATTGTGTTGATGAGTTCGTACAGCATTTGTAATCATGAAGTTTCTGAAATTTAGTAGTGTGTTAGCCCACTTCACCTTCAAGGTCTGTGTCACTATGTTCCTTGAAGCAACCTTCTTGACAAGGGGTATGCATTACAAAGTTTCTTCAAGTTAGTAGTGTTACCCCACCTTCGTGACGAGGTCTGTATCACTGCATATCCTAAATCTGTCTTCATGCTAAGGCTTATGTGTTATTTGTTGTTGTAGCATATCATGCCTGTGGACTGTACTAAAACAGCCAGCCTCATTTTTGGGATCCAATTTGTGTTCATGGGAGCGTAAAACATTAACAATCCTTACAAGTCTATCCTGTGGCTGACTTTGGTCATGGTTGATTGGCAAGTGACCTGGTGTAATTTGCTCCTTTTTTCCTATCAAACATCTGTTGTCCTTATCTCTCCTCCTTTTGTATGTTACACTTTAGTAACACCTCTAATCTTTGGCACTTATTTGAACTGATTGTGTTGCAAATGCTGCAAAACCCTTACTAAAACTGAAACTGACTTTGACCCTTGCCTTGTGCTCCAGGAAAGCACTGGAGCACATGCCTCCCCTGGTGCTGAGCTCAATGAGCAGCTCTCGGCCAGCCTTCCTCAGCAAGCATGTGCTGCACGAGCTTGAGGTTTTTGCAGAAACACTGTCACAAAGGTGAGTGATTCGTTTTTTTAGCGGCTTTGAGGGCTGAGAGGAGCTGGGTGTGGGAAATAACTCTTACTTGTCATCAGTCCTGGTCATGTTGAATAGATCAGCTCTGTGTTGTTCCTCCACTCAGTTTGTTGTTCTAAGAATGTTTAGGTTTGTGATTGTTTACTGTTTGTTTGGAAATACTTCCCCACTCCAAAGATCTAGTGTCTCCCTCCCTCCCCCCTCCCTCCATGACCCACTGGCCTATAAAATGGTACCACTGTTTGTGTCTTCTCTTTGTGAACGTCAACAGCACAGAGAATCCAGATCAGCTGACTGTGGATGGCCTTCAGGTACTCTTGGCCTTGAACTTTGCTCGAGGGAGTGTGGCTGGTCTCATCCGCATGCTTCACAGGTTCAAAGGTCAGTGCCATGTGTGTGTGGTGAGGGCATGGCTTACAGAGACTGATAATTTCTTGTTAGTGTCACACATTCTCTTTTCACTGACTTCAAGTGCTGGGGGGGGGGGGGGGGGTTCAAAAGTATTTTTCAGCAAATGATAATTTTCAGTTTTGGAGACAAGAAATGGAGCTTAGCTGCAGATATATCTTCCTTGTCATCTCTGATTGCTTCATGCAATCAAGACGTGGGAGTAAGTTACAAAGATAATTCTTGGATTGGCTTTGCTCTGGATCTATATTCCTAATGTATCGTGTGTGTCCACAGAGTTGCCTAGTGTGAGCCTTCCCTGTGCTGAGCTGCTGTCCAAGGCCATGATAAATAGGAACACTTGCTGGGAGAGCTTAGGTCAGTGTGTGTGTGGGGTGTGTGTGGGGTGTGTGTGTGTGTGTATGTTTGTGCCATGTGAGAGTTTGAGAGGAATCATGTGAGTGCATGTGTGTACATATGTTCATATGTATAGGTGTGTGTGTGTATGCCTAAATGTGTGTTCTGTATGTGAGTGTTGGTGTGTTTATGTCCATGGATGTAGGTTTTTGTGTACTCACTTGCTTGCTATTTTCATGTTTTTTTGTAAGATATCCATTGCTTTATATCAGAAAAGTTAAATACCAATTTTAGAGGGCTCAATGGCATCTCTGTTTGAAATTAAGTGTACCAAACTGTGTTAACACCACTTACCATATCACTGCTGCTCTCCCTCCTTCCTGCCACCCCATTCCATCCGTCCCCTCCACCTTTACTCCACATCTACCCACCACACCCTACCCCATCCTTCTTTTGCCACCCCAACTTATCCAACCCTTCCACACCCCACCCACCTTCTATCTACCCAACCATATTCCCCCTCCCGCTGTTTCACCCCATGTACTTCTTGCACGGACCCCCGTTATGCCCTCCCCTCTAACCTCATATAACTCTTACAGGTACCCCAATCTCTGTGTCTCTCTTGGCTTCCGATGGAGGTGAGGGGTCGGCCAATCTGGGGCCTGAGGTTGTCATCGAATCCTTCAGTGCCAGCTCTGGGAAGACTGCCTCTAGTAGTCCCAATAGAGGTGAGTGGTTGTAACCCTGACTGCACAATGCACTGACTGCTACACCGATCACCAATGTGATCACAACACTACTTTGACAATTGCACTTATCTGCTAGCAAAAATGTTGGTGCTTTGGACCTCTCTGTGAGCATATTTTACTTGTGATACAGGCTCCTGCGCACATCATGTGATATGATGTGTTTTTAGTGTCTTAATTCATTTGGTTTTGTGCGAATTGCAAGGCTGGCATGTTGTCACAATGGACCTTCCTGAAATGGATGACAGATGTGTATAAATGAAGGAGTATCACAGAAAGAAGTAACTGAGTTGTAATAGTAAAAGTAGTCGTACAGTAACAGAAGCATGGCCATTAATTGGGATACAGTGACACAGATCTATATAAACAACAGGAGGATATCACAGAAGCAGGATCCGTCCAGTTACATGCGACATTGAGAGGGGAAAACAACCTTTGTCAGCAGTTTTTTCAAGAAGTCTAATTTCCAGACTCCAGTCACACCTGTGTTACATGCTGTTTTATCATTTGTCTCAAGATATGGAAGAGCTGAAGTGAGATCTCTACAAGTAGGAATATGTGTCAATTGACGTCACTTTTTTTGCCTAAGCTACTGCACTGGCTTACCATGTTCTTACAGGTTATGTCTTTGAGGTTATTTTTGTTGCATGTTACATCAACTGTTTTGTCTGTTGCAGCATATGTGACGGATGAAGGGGTCACCAAATGCACCATGATCTTCAAATCAGAAGAAAATGTCAAACTCACCAAGATCAAAATTCAGGTTTGCGAAAGCATTTTTCTTTACTCTTGTTTTGTGACTTTTTCTGTGTCAAATCTGATGTAAACTTCCAATATCTCTATTATGTATGCTAACTTGAATGTGTAAGTTTAAGTCTACATTAAGATTTTCCCTGTATTTGTTGCTACTGTTGCTTGGTTCACAGTTCAGAGAGAGGTCCTCCTCATCAGTGTGTTCATTTCTTTAGTGTGTGCCTGTGAAACAACTTTAATAGCATGGATGGTGAAAATTGAGACAATAGTAGTTCCTGACAGAGCAGACAGTTCTGAATATGTTGTTCTTTAAAACATTCAAATGTCATGAGTAGCTTTTGAAGAATAACAGGTTTTGTGGGGCAAGGTACGAAGGTACATAATGGAAAAATGCATGCACCATGTTGAAGATAATGTAATTTGAGATTTTACCTTACCACAATCTTCATTTTTACAAGTTAAATTCTGTTTCATTCCTTTTAAACGATTTGAGAATGAAGAAACGTCCTATTGTTGCCAAAACTGCTATTTGCCCCATGTTTGGGTCATTTCCATAGTCACATATGGTTACACATATGACTGGTGTCTGTGGTGTAAAGCCTTTACCGCAGTATGACAGTTTGTCCTGGGACAGACCTGTCTGGATTTTGAAACCATTGAATTAGAGTATAATGTACCGTACCTATTAGGACAGGACATTTTTGTCGCATTGAGTCCCAAGCAGCTATGAATTGCTACAAAATCGATGGGACAGGACAATACCAGTCCCGTTGTGACATCGTCTGTGATCATAGAGAAATATAGCCACCTACCACATTAGGACAAAGCTGTCCCCCAGACTTGGTGATGCCTGCTGTCAAGATCGCGAGGTTTGCGGGTTGTGACGTAGAATCACTTTATAATTTGCCGCTGCGCAGTATTAAATTTGGGGCACAAATTTTTTACCATAATTATTGCATCTCGAAAGTGATATCATTTTCGGAATCAGCGTCTCAAAATAAGCTAAATGGCTGGTGAGGAACCTGATTTGATGTAATACTATGTAAATTTCAGCAATTTATTTTATTTTTTCATTGATCGTCAATGATGAAGTTGTGTATCAAGGTCATTAGGTGCGTTGCACATCTGCAGTAAAGTCAAAGCTTCTACACACATCACAGTGCAGACTTTTTTTGTCAGCTGCAGTCACTCGGTTTTTTCTAAACAGTCTATTCTCATCAAAATGGATGTTGGTCCAAATTGAACAGAAAACTTTATTTGTGCAGTGGAAAATAAACCATGTTTGTACAACAGGCTAATGTTGCCTAGTACGGGCTGATTTTTGCTAATTTTGGGTCACTGATCACGAAAATCTTTTTTTCTCTTTTATTTGGACAATATTGAGGAAATCTTTGGAATGCATTTTTAACTCCGTCGTGGGCAACAATAAAGAAGCCGCCTTATGCGCCGAATCAGTCCTGTACTAGTGCGGTATCTGTTTTGACACGCAAAAAATCGACGGTGGGACAGGACAGTCCTGTCCGAGACAAGAATGTCATAGTGCGGTAGAGGCCTAATAATTTTACTCTTTGTTGTTGCTTGCAGACAGTATGAGTTCAATTCATGAAGGAAAGATTTTTATGGAGTAAGTCTGTCAGTCTTCTGGGGTGCTGTATCCCACTCAGCCTAGGTTGACCCTGACAGATAGGGTCAAAGTAGCACAGCTCTTAAATTATGTACTTTAACCATTTTACGATCTCCTGTCAAGACTCCCAACTTCCCCAAAGTCCCTCTTACAACTTTCTCTCTTTTGCAGGTTTCCCCTGGCAACAAGGGTGCCCGCCACGGACTGGTCTTTGTCTATAACCCAGAGTAAGTACTGTCCCCTGGTGGTGGTGCAATGTGTTAATCTGGGCCATGTCACGTGGTGGCATTTGTCATTGGTAACAGCATGTCCCCTGATGGTTATTTGTCATGGGAAACGGGATACTGTCCCCTTTTTGGAATGAATTTTAGGAAGGAAACTTGGTCAATCAAAAATAACTTCTGTCAGTTGGAGTATTTGTGTATGTGTGTCAGGGGAGGGGGGGGGGGGAAATCACCTCTTTCAATCCCAAGGACTTCTTTGCTTTTCAACAGATGCTTTGAATGTGTTCATGATAATTCTTCTCTTTCCTGTTCTTTTTTAATGTTGTTCTGTGACTAAGATAGTGTGGACATGCATCTTTACAGCACACACACTGACACTCATTCACATTCACTAACACGTGTGGCCAGAGATCTAGCTATGACAGTGGATCTGTGACTGTTGATGTGCAATGCTGCTGTAGCAGACGTGGTTGTTTATGTAGAGGAGGCAAAAACTACATGCAGACCAGTAGGTGAATTTATGTGTGTTGATAAGACTTGCATATACAACAATAATCTTGTTGTTAACCCTTGACCCAAGGCGTATACTTGATCGTACTTTACTGTTACCCTTCTCTGCACCGAATGCAGGCCTTAGCCTGCCATGGTAATGTTTGATCCAAGGGAGCTCAGATGCAAGGGTTCTCTAGGCTGAGGGGTCCTCAACTCATGAGGTTACATTCACATCACGTTGGTGCACCCTGTATCCCATTTGATGTTCCCCACATTTCAGCACCATCCCAGAACTGAGTGAGAAGTTTGACAAAGAGGAGCACATGAACTTCTTCAGCAAGTACGATTTCTGGAGGTCCAAGGAATTTGAGTTCAGCATTGGCTACAGGTTGGTGTCCCAGCCACAGATTTCTTACTCAATCCACCCGCTAGTTCTTTTAAAACTGTCAGTGTATGAACATTATCTTCAACTTTTAAAAAATAGCTTTGCGGAGAGATTTAATTAATTTTTATATATTGTTCAAAATAGTATCCTTCTGCAGCTGCAAACCTTTGTAACTTCTGTAACTAGCTAGGGAAAGCTGTTAGGTAGTAGTTTTTCTAGAATGTTCTTCAGATATTGATGTATTGCTAAAGCACGAGCTGCTTTCGTGGTAAAATGACAAGCTGCAAGATCTTTTTAAGCTTGGGAAAAGGAAAGGCTTTGATTATCTGAGTGTTTTTTTACTCTGGGTTTTGGAAATTTCTGATTCTCCTCTTCTTAAAAGCTTTTCCGGTGGAACATAGTTGTTCTATGAATGTTTAGTGTGATAGCTGAGCCCTGCTAAAGTCATTATAGTCAGTCTAACATGTTTTGTGTGTGTGTCTATGTACTACAGGAAGGCTGGTCTGGGAGGCATGCCGGACAACCCTGTGGCCTACTTCAGATTTGATAATGACTGGTGAGTACACTTCTCATAATTCTGTCTGCTCTAATAACCCCCCCCCCTCCCTTTCATCTTAGGCTCTCCCTCTCTCACCCCTGACCTTGATTTTACAGTGAAGTGCTTTGGAAAATATTTTGGGTACACCCCTACCCCTACACCTCCCTTCCCAGTATCTATACGGGGTTTTTGGATTTTAAAAAATATCTTCTCATCTTCTTGTGGTCTGATACTATTTTATGTGAGTTTTCTCATACCTTTATGTCTTTTGTTGTATGAGATTCAGAAAGGTCTATCTACTTGCTGTGGATGTTTCAAGTTACCCTTTTGTTGTGGGTTCTATCTACAACGCACTACATGGTGATCAGCATTTCATTTTGAAATGACCATTCTGCTCAGAGAAAAATACACATGAAAAAGGTTTTTATCTTTTTTTATATTTAAAATTCAGTCTTTTAGATATCTCAAAAGTACCTTAAGTGCCGGTAGAACCCTTTAAATCTCGTACAGCACGTTTACTGTTTATTGAGCAGTGTATTAGTGACAACAGCTGCGTCTTGTAGAGCTACAGTGGTAATCTGACAGTCAAAAGGCTCTTGACGGACTACAGTGGTTGGTTGGATTTTGATTTGTTTATTTGTGGGGGGGGGGGGGGGATTTTTTTGCTGTTTGGTCGCTGCTGTTGCCCTCTCCTATCTCCTGCAACCCACAATTGCTCAAGTAACAATGACACATGTTCACAATCGCATTTTATAATCTCAACATGCTTATACATTCACACACATTCACTCTCTCACATAATATGCTCACACACACACAAAACATTTAGACACACACACATGCAATCACATACATACACACATAGACACACACACACACACTCACACACACACACTTAAACGTACAGACTCACTCCTGTTGATTTCTCCTCTCTTCTTTTTCTCTGCAGTGATATGCTTGATGTGCCGGTCAGCTGGGATGCTGTTGGCCAGGTGAGTAAACTGTCAGCAGCAGCTAGTCTCATTTGTTTTTTCAATATTAGGTTGCTGTTTATATGCCACCACTACATATACAGTGGAAATTTATCTAAGACGGCGACCTATTGTTGAGGAAAAAAGTGGCTGTTTTAGGCAGGTGACCGTCTTAGTGTCATTAAAATGTAAAAAGTATGCAGGAGAGTGAATGGGAAGTAGCTGTTTGTACAGGCGATTGTCTTATACAGTTGGCCGTTAAAACAGGTTTGACTGTATGATAGTACTAGTTGACCTCAGATCCTTGTGTCACCTTTAATAATAATGAGTAGATTTCTGCAGTGCCCACTCCCCAGTTGAGCTTTAGGCACTGTACATCAATAATGAAATCAGTCAGTCAAGCTAATAACAGAGAAATATACACTAACTGAGAGAAAATTGCACTGTGGTCTGTTAAGCGCTGATCCTAACTCACACCTCTAACAGTACATGTCATTGACCTCTGACATCAGGGTCTACGGTATAGTATATCCATTTGTGTGGTTGCTATCCCCAATATAGGATGGTTGTTATATTTGACCTCTATCCCCAATGCCCCTCATGACAGTGCATTTAGCTGACCTCTGACCCCAGGGTCTACAGTACAGCACAGTACATCGAGTTTACATATATCTCCAGTGTCCTGTGTGGAGAGGTTGATGTATTTGACCCCTATTCTCAACCCCCCCCTTGTGACAGTGTATCTAGTTGACTTCTGACCCTAATGCCCCTTGTGTCTCTCCCCTGACAGTACCTCCTGGTAAAGTTTCTGGAGCCTCGGCATGAGTCGGCCACTCGGCTAGGTATCGTGTCGGTGCGCTTTTCTGGCATCAGTCGTCAGGCTGCCATGATCAACAGACTTGAGGTGAGTCGGCAATAAAGGGAAAAGGGGGGGGGGGGTACTCTACTCTCAGACATATTGTTTCCCCTCTCCTAATGGGTTGTTGGAGGACACCCGCTGCTTGGCCCTACTTCTTTTCTTTCATTCTGTTGTTTCTGTCTGTCTATCTTGCTTTTCCTCAGCACTAAATGGCCATTACTGGGTTGATTTGCTTCACTTTACCTAAACTTTATTAGACTTCACTTTCCATTCTATCATGGGTGCCCGAAGGGTACCACTGGTAGGTCTTACTTTTTTAATTTCCCGTTGCTGTTTCTTTTGCTTTCTCCCAACACTAAATTGCTGCACACTCATATAAATGGGTTATTGGCGGGTGCTCTGGTGTGGTTTGCTTCTTCTTTCCTATCAAACATCTATCGTCCTTATCCCCCCTTCTTATTTTTAATATTTGTTACTCTCTTGTAACAGCTCTAATCTTCTGGCGCTCATATGACCTTATGCAGTTGTGAGCGCTGTAAAACCTCTACTAAAACTAAAAAACACTCTTATAATTTATGTAGTTGCGAGAGTCGTAAAACTTTTACCAAACGGAAACTAAATGGCTGTTATCCTTGATGTGCTTCTCTCTGCTCAAAATTCATCGTACTACATGTCACTAACATGTTCCTGTCAGTCTGTCGTGTCCTGGTCATATTGACGGAAGTTCTCTCCTTTATTCCCTCTATGCTTTGTGGACTGTGCAGAAGCCGCTGGCCATGCCTGACCCTGCCAAGAAGAGTACCTGTGATCTGCCGGAGATCATGGCGACAGTGCTGACCTTCATCACAGACCTGGCCACTGATCAGGTGAGACAACACTCAAGTAGACATTAGTCACTGCCTTAAAATTATAAAGTTGTATCTGACATTTTTGGCCATTTTGAGTTTCTAAAACCATGAGGTCAGAAACCAAATCTGCTGTATCAAAATTGTAAGATTATTCGGAGTCATCAAGATATTTAAAAAATTGCATTTAAGAAAGCTTGAAATGACGTGAAACTAAAAAAAATTTGCGTCAAAATTTTCCAAACTAGGAACTGAGCAGATAAAACTTTGTAATTCTAAGGTAGCCTAGTGTCATGTATCTCTGGATGACCGGATCTGGCTATGAATGAAGTAAGAAGACAAGCTCAGTGTAAGAATCTGTCATACGTCACTTTTTAAAAACAGCGTTAGGCAAAGTCTTACACTGAGCAATCAATTTTATAGACATTTAAAGCTTAGGGCTCTAGATGTGGATAACCATACCTTGCTACAGATCAGAGGATGCACATGTAAATATTTGGGTTCTTTAGAGATTTCTTTCAATTTTGGTCTCTCTTATCTCCCGGTCAGGTGCGGCGTCGGAGCATGTTCCGGCCTCAGTTTGAGTTCCTTGACCTGTCAGATCTGGATGCCACATCCCTGTGGGAGCTACACCTGGCCTGTGAGGAGAGGTAAGCTCTTGTAATCGATGCTGTTAGATCATGTTGATGACACAAACGTCGTCATTGATGCAGATAAATTGATTCTGGCACAGTTAGATCATTTTATTAAGGTGGATAGATTTTTTTTCATAATGATACAGAGCTTATCAGAGACACAAATAGATTGTTTCAGCGACACTGTTTGGTCATGTTGAAAACAAACTCTACAAATGTCATTGACATGAATCACTTTGTAGGTACACTAGCACAGTTTAATTTACTGCCCCATCACCCCCTCTCCTCCCCTTTCTGTTCTAACAGGCTTAAAGAGGAGGGTCTCAGCACCAAGGTGTTCAACCAGTGGCAGAGATCATCAATGCTACTGCTGCAGCTGATCCATGGTCTCATTCCTGTTCTGGCATCCAGCAAAGCCACATCAGAGGTACTCTCTCTCTCTTTCTTCGATATATATATATATCTTTCTCTCTCTCTTTCTCTCTCTGTCTGTCTCAGTTTTCTGTTAGTCTGTCTGTCTGTCTCTGTCACTCTCTTGCTCTTTCTCTCTCTTATTTTCTGTTTCTCTGTGTGTCTTTCACACTGTCTTCCCTCCTCCCTTTCTGTCCTGCTCTTCTTCCCATTCTACTCCCTCCCCCCCCCCTCTGTCTCTCTCTATCCGTCTGTTGCTATGTATGTTTCTCTCTCTCTGTGTGTCTGTCTATCTCTGTCTTTCCCTCTCTCCCTTAGTTCATATTTCATTGTATCCAAAAACCAAAAAATCTGAAAAGTTTATTTCACAGAAACAGAAAAATGCAGAGAGTGAGTGAGCAAAATGTGTTTTGATTTATTTCTTTTCACATAAAACTGACACAGCTACTAATTAAGACATTGATATAGAATGACACTCAGTGTTTATTGCCATTGTCTTATTCAGTGGTGTGTGACTGCGACATTTCAGGACTTTTCCCAGGATATTTCAGGACTTTAGCAGAATATTTCATTGTCTCAAAGATTTGGTATAGAAATGCCTGCATTAAAAGTTGTAAGAATGTGTGAGGTTTTGTGAGTTATTAGTGTCTTAGAGTGTCAATGTAAGCTATGTGCCTGTTTGTATGTGTGTCCCATGATGTGTCATGCTGAGCAATGTACTTTGTCTCTCCCCCCACCCCCTCCCTTGCAGGCCAGTCGGGACGCTTTGTTCCAACAGCTGTGTGAGATTGTCAACACCCAGTCGGAGGTTGAGGTCACACCAGCAACAGCAAGTAGCATCACTTACGTGGACAAACTCAACATGATTCGGCAGATCATTATTGATGGTAGGGACAACTGTTGGTTTACTCAAATAGTCATTTCTTCAGTTAGTTAAAACATTAACATTACTGGACATAACTGAAAAGAGAAAAATAAAAAATCTTTTCTTACTGTCTGTTGTATTAAGTATTGGTCCATGTAAGGATATGAGGATTGTTCTATAATCTGTGATTATTGATTGTTATATTATTCTGTATACTGTCCTCAGTTGACATTATACTTTCAGTAGACCTGATTTTAAAACTAAATATTTCTTTGTTCTCTGACGCTGTATCCCACTAGTAGGGGTGCACCTTTATAAATAGATTGGAAAAAGCCTGCCTTCTTTGTAATCTAAATTAAGTTGAAAAGGTTTAAAACAAATGCAATCAATAAACTCTGATGCTTTGTTGGTCCATTGAACTAAACTGTTTTCAGCATTTGTTGAAGTCTGCCATTAGCATGGGTCTCAATAGTCCGCTATTTAGCGGATTTCCGCTACCGCCAGTTCCTCCACTAAACTCCGCTACCGTGACAGGGGGCCAATCAGAAAGAGAGTTGTTGGGAACAGGGTGACTGCCAGGCCCCGGGAATTTTTTAAAAATCGCCGAGACCCGCGAAAATACATAAAAGATTTCAAATATTTGAAAACCAAATCCAATAACGTCTTTAAGTTCATTTCTGCCGGTCGCGATTGTGACATTATTTCGGCTCTGAGAGTACGTTTCACGCGAACTAGTGGCTTTGGCGGCAAGCGGAATTGTGTCACCAATGCTCGACTAGAAAATCAAGATCTACTTTCGCTTTCGTTACCACCCAGAAATGTGTCAGTAATTGTCTGATAACACAACGTTTATTGTAACATGCAGGTTCGGCATTACAAACGGGGTGTCGCCATGAAAATAAATAAATATTCGTCACTGTGCTGTCACTTGTGGGGGCAACAAAAAAAAAAAAAAGAAAAGAAAGTTATACAAGCGTCTTGTCGGGCCTGCCATTGTGTCCGGTCAATGAACCTGCGCGCATTCTGAGCGCTGCGAAGTACAGGACTCAGGAATGGGGGGAGATTATTGATTTTTAAAAAAGAATCACTCGGGGATAGGGGGAGGGCTGGACGCAACACCTGAGGACAAAAACAGACAAACTGAAACTGAAAATAAATGTTTAATGTATAGAATTTTGATTACTACTTCAGCTCTCTGCGTTGGTGCAAGCCTTGTGTGAAATCGGGAATGGTCATAACTTGTAAACGAGTTATGGAACTTAGGGGCCTGAGTGTTCGCGTCTCATTGGATTGGTGACAGTAAATTAGATCTCTATATTTTAGCTTTCTGTTCAAGATTCGCAGATTTTCAGTATCACTGCATCTTGCCCTCCCACAGTTCTTACACCTCTCACACTGAATAGGTCTACTTGAGCTATTCTACTGTACTTTGAGTTCGAGCATTATTTTTGTCTTTCATGTTTATTATATAGGCCTATATATATGATATGAATCATGACAGTCGATATTCTGGTTCCAGGCTCAAAACAAGATTCATTTCTATATAGATTATGTATACAGGCGAATATGATGAAGGGAAAATATTAATAAGTCGCACAAGACCCCAGGCGCCACCACTTTCTGTACGTAATCAAGATTGTAAATATTTGGTACGTGACTCTTACTTGAAATTATCTTCCAAACTCTCAAATTAGTGTGAAATAACCTTGCTGTGATAAATTGATGGTTTTTATTTCAGCATTCTAGGGTTCAACAGTATAATAATAATGGGTGTTTCGCGAAAATGGTCTTCTGTGGCAATCTCCTGGAAAGTTCCTCCTTTTTTGGAATTCTGAGTTGAGACCCATGCATTAGGAGAGTGAAAAAATTGTCCCTTGGTAATCTGGAAATCTATGCCAGAGTGTCCAAATTGACATGTTGACTTTCTTTATGTAAAGTAACTCGTAATGTTGACCTTTGACCCCTCCTGAATGAAGTAACCTGTATTATTGACCTAATTTTTTTGCAGTACCATGTCAGAGTATACTCATGCCGTGGTGTTGTCTCTCTATGTCTGGCCAGGTGCTCCGCTTTTCTTCCCTGAGAAGACAAAGAAACGTGACGAGCTGTTCAAGTTGATGAAGACTGAGATACACACGCACACCTTTACCTGCTCATTCTCACATACACACAAGTACACTCAAACTCCCAAATCTATGGAGACTGACTTTTCTGTTTTCCATCTTTACCCCCCCCCCCCCCCCCCTTCCAGGACCAGTCTAGCCAGCCCAGCATGTCCCTAGTGTTCCAGTCTCTGTGTCAGTTTTTCAGCTCTGTTGACCCCAAGGGCCTGCTGGACCTACCAAGCAAGACTGCCACGGTCAGTGCTTGTGTGGGTTTGTGTGTGTTTGTGTGTGTGACAGTCTACCAGTGTGTGCAAGTGTGTTTGTGTGTGTGTGTATGTATGTGTTTGTGTGACAGTCTACCAGTGTGTGTGTGTTTGTGTGTGTGTGTGTGTGTGACAGTCTACCAGTGTGTGTGTGTGTGTGTGTGTGTGTGTGTGTGTGTGACAGTCTACCAGTGTGTTTGTGTGTGCTTGTGCATGTGCACCTGAGAAGACAAAGCATGCGCGACAGTGAGTGAGTATTCCCAGAACTTTTTTGCCAGCAACAAACTGGATTTTATGTGTTCTTTAGTATTGTGTGTGTCTGTTTATGTGACTGTCTGTATGTGCAATTCTGACTGTATGACTCTGTGTTTATCTGAGTAACTCTGTGTCTTTGTCTGTCTATCTGTGTGACTCTGTGTGTATATCCCCAGAACCTATGTGCTGCCAACACACTCGACATGATGCGATCTCTACTGGTGGTAGCCACCCAGGAGCAAGAGGGCCTTCACCTGACCTCCCACACTCACCGACGACAGCCCACACCCACTACACCCAGCACTCCCACAGCTACTGTGACAACATCGGAGATTCCGGCAGCCTCCCCTGCCACAACCACCACAGCAACAACAACATCTGTTCCTGCATCAGTCACCACGGCAACAGCAACGACCAGCACAGCAGCAACAATGTCGGATCTCACCTCGTCCACCTGTCCCCCTCCCACTACAACCACCTCTGCCCCTCCTACAACAAACGCCTGTACCCCTTCTTCAACTCCCCTCCCTGCTTCACCGGACGTCAAAACACAGCTGTCCAAAGATCTTCCAGAACGTTCTCCAGAGTCCCCCTGTTCAGCTCCTTTGAAGGCTGTCGGGGCGGGGGTGGGGGAAGGTGAGGGCACTGCCACGGGAGCAAAGACCTCGGAGGTGGTCAAGCCTGTGTCGGAGAGTGGCCCACAGATGACCTACTTGGTACGGCTGACGGCCTCGCTCCAGACAGCCCTCTTCTCCTGGTGCTGGCAACAGTTGGAGGCGACGGTGCCGCAGGAGGAGGAAAAGTTTTACAACTTTGTCAACGACATCATCGTCACTTGTGAGTACCTTCTGCATGCCTTGTGAGCACATTTGGGATTTTCTCTTTGTGCGTGACCATACTTCATGCGGTGTACTTGTTTTTCAAATAGCACCCACACACCTTACCATACTTCTTTCAGCAACCTGTTTTATAAATAGCTCTTTCACTGTATTCTTATGTATTCTTGACAAGTAAAAATGCTTACTTTTTAGTGAATTATCTAAAGTTTATTTCTTTTCCGTTAGATATTTGAGAAAACATTTTCATAGGATAAATATAACTCCTTGGCTGTAGAAACCATGCGCATACATTCAGAATCAGAAATTTGCAATGTCTACGGGGTTCATGATGACTATCATTTCAGTATGTGTTGAGGCAGAATAAATGTGACAGGCAGACAGCACTGGCAGCCTCATGTTCTGCCAACTCAGTAATTCCTTTGCTGGGTCATTTTTAAACAGAATGTGGTGTTTTGTGGGACATGTGTGTCAGTCTGTCTGTAACGTATTTTGTATGTAATGATTTACTCTTCTCTATTCCAGACTCTTGTGAAGTGGCAGGGAAAGCAAATCAGTACTTTGAGAAGTTCAAATCTATGTCTTTCAATGAAGTGGTAAGCATTCTATCTCTGATTTAATTATTATCAGTATGTATATGCAGATTAATACATTGTGGCGCCTGTGGTCAAGTGGATAAGGCTGTCAGACTCTCAACCATAAGGTCATGGGTTCGAATCCTGTCAGAGACCTGGTGTTGTGTCCTTGGGAAAGGCACTTTACTCAAATTTTCTTCACTTCACTCAGGTGGGAATGGGCACCCGGCTTTTGACAGCAAAAGATTATGTCAGATTGATAATGTTTTGGTGTGTGTAATCCGCAGCTTGCACTGTATGTTTTCCAGGAAGCTGAAAATGTTTCTAAGTATTGTTTTAGGGTCTGCTGGGGCAACGATAGTCATAAAATGCATAGAGCGTGCTGTGGAGTATGGATATGTGCTATATAAATGCATTTATTATCATTATTGCTATATCATTATTATTATCATTATTATTATCATTATAATCTGCCTTCTCTTCTCCTTTCTGGCTTGTTCCCTCCTTCCTTCCAGGCCTTTTACATGATTTTGTTCCTCTCACTCTCCTGATGTTAAATGATTGTATCTCATTCTCTCTTCTCATTCAATGTATTATATCCCTTTTTCTCTGTCATGTGCTATGTGTTTGTACCCCTTTTTTTCTTAGAATTTTTTCTTTCCTCCTTTATTTTTGTCTGTCTGTCTTACTCTTTCCTTTGCACAAAATGGCCGTTATTGTCTCCCTTTGCTTCTCTGAAACATCTCTTCTTGCGCTGCTTGATTGTAAGCATTTCTCTCAGTCCCGAGTTCCATTACTATGTCGTTTTTCTCTCCTCCAGAAGGCTGAGTCTGATGCAGAAGAACCATCCTTCCTCTTCATCCTAGTCCGGCAAATGGTGAGTGATGTTTTTAAAGAGATTTTTACTCTGTCCATGTGCCCGATATGGGGTGGCTGATCATCAGTTTCTGTACAGCTCATGTCTCTCTCTCTCTCTCTCTCTCTCTCTCTCTCTCTCTCTCTCTCTCTTCCATTCTTTTCCTTCCTCCTGGAACTTTCCCTTTGTCTTTTCTTCACGCTCTTATTTCAGAATTCCCCCTTTTATCACTTTTTGTAATGAGTTAGCAGTGGGTAATTGGTAACTGCTTTTTAGTGTGTTTTGTAAGTAGGTTAGGTTTTTGTTTTTGTTTTTTTTCATTTGTATGTGCTTTGGGGTAGCCAGAGCTATTGAGGTATACCACTGGGTTTTTTTTGTGATGACTCCCTGAATATGGTTGTGTTGTGTCTAAATTGTGGTGTCGATAGGTGTAAGATGCATCCCATGACATTGGTGTGTCTCTTGCGTAGGACTTACTTCTGTTCTTTCCCACCGTTGTTTCTGTCTGTTTGCCTTTTTTTTCCAAACACCAAGTGATTGTTATTATGTGATCTGCTTCTCTTTACTCAAACTCAACCCCCCCCCCCCCAATTTTTGGACTACTCAGATGCTATTACTGTCTAGTGTTGTTGACCACCTAAATATGTCAAGCAAGGTGCGTCTGCTGCACGACCTAAAACCACTGATCACCGCAGTTACCGAGGTGGCCAGGAACAACCCGGAGCTTTTCTGTGATGTGAGTTGACCATAACCCTTTAGTCGTCTTATCAGTTGACATCGTCCTATTTGTTATCCTCCCAGATGCTATAGACTCTTTTCTTTTCCTCACAATTGACATTAACCCCTTGCTGTCTTCCTTGGTGGATTTCACATTTGTGAGGCAGCGTGGTGGAATCAGGCTCTCGTCAATTTTGAGGCATGTAGAGTTATTGGTATCATCTTAAAGCTTATTCACTTGTCTTTATTTGTATGAAAAAAATATCCTTTTATCTTGAGTACAAGTCAAGATATTTGCAAATAAAGGAGGTGAGTGTCATCTGTTTACAGAGATAAAATTAGTGAGAACATGGTCGCCAAAGATTAGTTATTTCCTTAGATTTAGAGTCCGTGGTAACTGAAAATGTACATTTTTCGTGAATTTAATCAACTTTTTTCAGAAAAATCCACACAGAGATGAGTTATTTAATGGGCATGAAAGGTGTTCAGCCAAAAAACAAAAATTTGGTAAAAATTCATAAACCTGCGGAAAAATGCAAGTTTCTTCACTTTGATTATTTTGACGAGAGCCTGATGCCACCACGCTGCCTCTCATTTTCCGTGGTTGGATTGTGCTTAAATAATAATAATGCGAATTTAAATAGCGCCTATTCCCAAGAAGGCTGTAAGTGTTGCACAATGCAGAATTATCACTCAACTGACAAATCAAAAGATAGAAAATACACTTTATGAGACCATTTAACAACAACAACTGACACACAACTCCCTCACCTACACACATAACCACAAACAAAACTCTCTCTCTCTCTCTCTCTCTGATGTAATGCACATTTCTTTTGAAAGGTAATTCCGAATTTTAGGGTCTTTGGAAAAAAAGCTCTTCCAACTTTTTTGACTTTACAGTGGGCCCTCTCATGAGATTCTCACCTGAAGTTCTCAAATGTCTCAATGGGATGTATGGCTCTATAATGTCATTAAGATATTTTGGTACTTTGTTGTTCATCCACTCATGACACAAAAGAGCAAGTTTGTAATCAATTTTAGCTTTAATCGATAGCCAATATAGTTTATCAATAAAGGTATGATGTGTTATTTTGGGGATTTTTTAAAGATCAATCATGTTATCCTGCTGAGTAGCACTAGGTGTGTTGTATGTTTTGATGACTTTGTTCTTGCCTGAACTTAAATGTGCACGGTCAGTGAGTGGTTGGAGGGCACCCATGGTAGGTTCAACTTTACTCTCCCTCTTTGGTTTCTGTCTGTCTGTCTTGTTTTTTTCGGAGCTGTAAATGACTGTCAAAGGGTCAATGAGCTTGTCCTTGCTCAAAACAAAGACAACCCCCCCTCCCAAATACTGTTGAAGCTTTACATGGTGAGTTTTCCCAGAGTGATGGAACAACAACCATATAAACACCTTCAGTGCTGTCCATGAATCCAGGTTTGTAAGAGTTGTAGAGGTGAAAATTAAAATCTGTTTGTCTGAAACACATAGAGAAACATTCAAAATGAGTGGAAGTGAGTTTTGAAAGTTTAAGTACGTAGAAAGTTTCCTAACAACGCTTGTCATGCTGTGACTACATGACTTTTTTTTGGTCCTGATTTTCTTCTGCCTTTCCCTGACTGATGATCACTATGTGGTGTTGATTCTTGTTGTTGTTTTTGTTTGTTTCCCGTTTGTGGCTGCATCAGATCTGTTCCACGTGCTGGGACAACCTTGAGACGGAGGAGACAACCTTGAGGACCTGGGAGGTGGAGTCACCGCATGATTACCACAACCACTCAAACATCAACCAGGTAAACAATGCACACAGTCTCTCTTGAGTCTCTGCTGGCTCTTGCTCTAGGCATCCACATGTTATGAGGAAATGCTACTGATCACTTGGCTGTTTTTCAGACCCTTGACATCATTATCTTTTGAACTTTTCCATTATCATCATCACTGTCATCACCATCATCATTGAGTTATTATCATCTTCATTAACATCTTTCAGTTATTATCATCATCACTATTATTATCATCTTCATTATTATCACCCTCATCGTCATCATTACTCTCTTTCTTTTGTTTTTATTTATCATCACCATCATAATCATTGCCGTAGCCATGAGGTCTGTTCACAGATTAGCATTATGCAAGGTACCTTACTATGTCATATATTTCCCTGAGCTATTCAGGGGTGGTCTAGGTTTCCTCTGGTTGACTTACTCTGTATGCCAATATTTTGTCAAAACACATGGTTATATACGTCAGCTTATGTTTATGTCAAGTGTTGGGAAAAGGATGGAAGTCGGAAGAGATTAATGTGCACCTGTATACTTCTGTACGTGGTTACTAATGTCTGTGTGGTCACTAATGCCCTTGTGCGGACTATCTTCCCAGACATTCCACTGTCCCGGGGCCTCGAAACTGCTGGTGGAGTTTGACCCGCGCTGTGAGACGGAGCGGCGGTGAGTGGTATGAGTGACTGGTATACTTTACTTGATGATGTTAAGTGTTGCTGATCTTGTCTTTCTCTCTCTCTCTGTGTCTTTTTCAGTGAGTGGTTGACTGATGCTCTGTTATGGTTTTCTTTTCTTTCCTATCAAACATGTATGGTCCTCATCACTCTTCCTTCTTTTCTTTGTATGTTACTCCCTAGTAACACCTCTGATCTTCAGCACTTATGTATGACATTTTTGTTTTGCAAGTGCTATAAAACTTACTAAAGCTAAAACTCTCTCTCTCTCT